ATAGATTTGGAAGTTGATATCTGATGCCATACAAAAGAAAGAAGAGAAGAGAGCACTAACCACTTTAAACTTTTCTTGGGTAAACTAAATATGGCTTCCCCAGCTTTTCACTGTATCATTTTCCAGTTCTCACACATTTTTATGGTCCTTTTCTGAATCCTTGTCAGTTTTTTTTCAACGTATTTTGTGATGTGAGGTCTCGTGATCTGGACATTAATAGTTTTATCACTGCTGTACAGAGAGGTCATGTCATAAGTCTTCTCCTACTTGATAATTTCTTAGTTGCAGAAGCTCACTGGGAGTATATTTTGAACCACTTATCTACCAAGAAGAATTGTTCTTTTCAGTTAGTCTTTTCCAGGGTACAGTTTTCCAGCTATCCTACATTCTTTTTTTCTAGATATATAAACTTATCTTTAGTTATATTAATATGCAGATCGTTCAAGTGAGTTCAGTTTGTAAGTAATTTTCTATAAATAACCTACCTTTATTATACATGACATAGGTAGTGTTAAGTCAGTATGAGTAAGGTTGCCTAACATTTCTCATTAGAAAATCATTTTTCCATTTCTTACAGATCTGTTGTAAAATTTCAGGCTCTCTCCCCTTCCCTCCCTTTTTGAAGCAGAGACTGAAATTTTATCACAGGTTGCTAGGTTGGTAGTCCTGTGTCTTCTACTGTCCCTGTGAAAATCCACTTATGTTTTGTTGAAGTTTTAAATCTTTAAAAGCAGTTGACACATGTTCAGAGGTTTATTAGAGGTTGACAGAAATATTCTCCAATATCCTGTTTGCTGGCATGTGCCATCCCCACCTATGTTCTGCATTGGAGCTGTAGTAGGAGAAATTAGCCCTCAGAAGCAATTTTTTCAATGCTGTTCCTGCTGGCTTTCAGGCAGCACGTTGGCAGAGGAATGAGCCTGATTCAAATCCAGAGAGATGAGTTAAGTGGGTGAGGAATAAGAACATAGGCGTTCAGGCAAGAGTTAAGGAAGGTTTGGGGAGGTTCAGGGAAACAAATGGCTGGAGTGCTTATATTGGATTACAAGTGAGAGTAACAATGATCTAGAACCACAGGAGCAGACTCTCCTCCAAAATTCTTAATTGAACCTATAAGTTTGTTGCTGTTCTGTTAGGAGGTATCTGACTTGCAGGAGCAAAATGTATGCCTTGTCCTTCTTTACTGACTGCTGCCTATAGGGAAACATAGAACTCTTCCAGTTATCCCATTACCTCTACAAATGGCACATGTTTGGATCTAAATATCTCAGTCCTGCTGACAACCCATATGGATCTGGGTGGGTCAACATGGTGGAACCTCTGGGAGTTTTTTGGTTTCTTTTTAAAGAAAAAATGCCCTAAGGAAGTTGCATTTTTAAAAAGCACATTATTAAAAGAATGAATTGGTATATAACGAAAGAGGCTTCTGTCTGTACAACTCTTGCCTTGTTTGTTAAAAAGATTAAATGTGTGTTATGAATGAGGAAGGGGATATCCAAAAAAGAAAGAAGAACCTCCCTGGACAATTGGAGTATCTCCCTGCCTCTACCCAAAGTTTGTGTGGTGTTGGGCAGGTCATTGCAAATAAACTGTTCACAGATGACCACTAATTAGCAGGAGTGTGGTCATGCCAGAAGATAGGTTGCAGATACTGGCAGACCTGGACAGGCTAGAGAGTTGGGAAGACCAGAACCAGATGAAGTTCAATACTCAGAAGTGTAAGGTGCTCCATCTGGGGGCAAACAATCCCCAACATACCTACAGCCTCTGTGGTGATGATTTGACTTGCACCGCGGCCAAAAGGGACCTAGGGGTAGTGAGCAACCATTGCGTGAACATGAGCCGGCAGTGCGATGCTGTGGCAAGCAGGGCAAACAACAAGCTGGCATGCATTAACGGTTGCATCTCATGCAAAACTAAGGAAGCGATACTTCCACTGTACTCTGCACTGGTGAGACTACAGCTGGAGTATTACCTCCAATTCTGGGCACCGCACTTCAACAAGGACGTGGAAAAACTTGAGAGGGTCCAAAGAGCCACCTGTACGATCAGGGACTTGCAAGACAAGGAGCCATACAAGGAGAGGCTGAGGAAGTTGGGCCTCTTCAGCCTACAGAAGAGAAGACTGAGAGGGGACTTGGTAGTGGCTTACTGCTACATCAGGGGAGTAGATGAAGAACTCGGTGAACAGCTGTTCACCAGGGCACCCCTGGAAAAACCAGGAGCAATGGATACAAACTCCTGGAAGGCTGTTTCAGGCTCAGTTCCAGGAAAAAAACTCCTTCACAGTCAAGGTGTCCAGATTGTGGAATAAACTCCCTCCAGTGGTGGTACAATCACCTACCCTGGAAAACTTAAAGCTAAATGTATTATTGTTTATGAGCTATTTGTAGTAAAGTGATAGCACAATATCAGAACTCATGAGGAAACAGCGAATTTCATATTCAGTGCAGGTTTTAGATGGCATACAGTGAGTTAGGCCTATGGCTGCACTTTGAGGCTTAAAATAGAAATACCCCAACAATTTATCCCCATGGACTGCAATAGCAGCTGCCTTAGGAAGCTGCAGGCCCCCGTAAGGCTGCATGCCTCATGAACTTCCCTCTACTCCTTGCTGCACTGTGCATCCCTGGCTTACCCTTAGCTTCCTATGCTGCTGCACTACCCCTCCTTAGGACTGAGATGAGAAGTGGCAGCCATTCTGGCTGCTAGTGCAGCTGAGCAGTGGTGGAGAGGAGAGAAGCTTCAAGAAGACAGGAGCCTAGCAGCCACAGTGTTTCCATGGGCAGGTAAGAATGCTGGGGTCAGATAACCCTGGCTAGGTGATCATCTAGGCTCCTTTTGAAGAGCCCCAGGGTAGGAGCGAGCACCAGTTCCCTTGGAAGTTGGTTTTAGATCCTAGCCTCCCTGACTGTGAAGTAGTGCCTCGTGATGGCTAGCTTGAATCTACTGTCAGTCAACTTATGGCCATTATTACTTGTTACTCCTGGTAGTGCTGTGGAGAAGAGAAGGCTGATTTAATTGCAGTCTTCAGCTGCCTGAAGGGTGGTTACAAAAGGGACTGTTCTGAGGGGTGGCAGATGAGAAAAAAGGAGCAATGGTCTCACATTGTAGCAAGGGAAGTTGAGGTTGGATATTAGGCACAACTCTCTCATGACGAGAGTAGTAAAGCAAAGGAACAGGTTACCCAGAGACGCTGTGGAATCTCCATCCTTGGAGGATTTTGAGACCTGGCTAGACAAAGCCTTGGCTGAGATGTCATAGTTGAGGATTGTCCTGCTCTGAGCAGGGGGTTGGACTAGATGTGACCTCCTTAGGTCCCATCCAACCCTCATTTTCCATATGTGTGTGTGCGCATATATATTACATGTAAATGTAACCCTTTATAGGCTGTTAGTTGGACAGTCCTGATATAATTAAAGATTTTGTCATAATATGCATAGTTTTTCATAGTTTCCAGGGTCAGAAGGGACCTGAGCAGATC